TGCTTAAATAGCATTCACACTAATTACCCGAGGTGACACAATGCTCATCTGCTCTGTGATTGGTTCATTCAGGTAGAAGACATCATCGTCGATGACATCATCAGCCTGGATTCGAGCCTGAACGACGAGTTTCTGACGCTGATCGACTCGGAGCTGCAGCTCGCCAACACGGTAACGCAACACGTGCACAAACACACTCGAAAACATCACACGGTGCATTCTCTGGTTTTACTTTTAAACGACGTGACGACTAACCGACAAACAGAAACAAACTCCTCCCCATCATCATCATCATCATCATCCGCCTCCTCAATACCCTCCAACATGAAGGAAAACACCACACCGGCTGGAGCTGTCACGTGTTACTGTAACAATAAAACAAACCAAACCCACTTCTGATGATCGTGTCTGAGCTCAAGCAACACTGCCCCCATCAGGTCACGTTGGGAAATACAACCCCGTTCCCTTGTTCAGTTATTAACGAGGAACTTTTTAAAATTACCCTCTGCAAAAATGTAACTTGAGCTTTCACCACCAGGGGGCAGCTTTTTATATCAGAGGCTTTTAGTGTAGCTGTGGAAAACTACTCCGGTTTTTGTTATTGTTTCGCTCTAGATTTGATCTCTTCTCTGCAATCGAGCGTGGGTTCTTTCTGAGAGTTTGTGCTGGTGGTGAAAAGGAGTTCTTTCCAGGTGCTTCAGTCACTGTTTGATGTGCCATTCACTCAAACGCCTGTCCTTTACGGCTGCTGCTTCCTTTGTTTCTCATGTTGTGCTCAGGGCAGATTGGATGGATGATACACTGGTTGGCTGACCTCTCCTGTGGTACACGTTGGTATTACATACTCGGATATAAAGTCCAGTTTCACTTCCCTGCAGGCTGACTCATGTTTAATTCAGTTCACATGTTTTTAATTTAGTTTATTGTAATGAAATTTCAGTATATTTCTATATATTTTATTAAGTCTTTAATAAAGTTTTTAAGTCTGTGGGTTATCATATTAAATAATCAGGATCTCAGCAATGTTGTGAGCAGCTCAGTGGCCCAGTTTCATTTCAGCGTCAGCCCTTGGCTTTCATTCTGGTTTAAAGTTTTAACAAACAATAATACTATTTCACTCCATGGTTAAAGCTCATTTAAATGAATTAACTTCAGTTTTAATTCATTATCCAAATATTTTCACTCCGGTCCTCACAGCTGAAATGACTGCTGTACAGCTGCTGTGGGCCAGATTTGTCCTATTGGTGAGATAGTTTTGGCCCCCGAGCCACATGTTTGACAACATGTCAGATTAGAAAACTCATCAGGAACATTACTGAGGCAAAGAATCAAGGTAGAATTAAGGTAATCTAAATACAGCCTGACTTTTTTGTGTGGGTTCTGTCGCCCCCTGCTGGCCATCACCTGGAGGAAATGCAGATGTTTCGTATGTGTGAAGCTGCAGTGACAGTGGAGGTGGAAGAGGCTGTCACAGAGTATCAGTTCAGCTTTCCAGACTTCCTCGTTTTTGTGGGTGGAGACACACGGTGCGTGTGTCAGGCAGATAATAAAGCTCTCTGGGAGTTTTCTTTTTTTGCTTTCTTTCTTAAAGAGACGTTTCCTCATTTTTAAACAGTTGTCTGAACAGAAAGGGGAAGCTCAGCAGCAGCTCAGCGACTCGCTGTGTGTCTGTCCGTGTGTGTGTGTGTGTGTTTGTTTGCATGTGTGTTTGTGTGCAATTAGCAAGATGAGGATTTTGGTGTTACTGCCCGACCATGAGAAGAGGAGGATTAAATCAGAGGTAAAATGTCCAGCTTGTATTTTTTGAGTTTGGGGAAAGTTTGACCTCTGACCTCTGGACTGCAGCTGCTCATTGAGGAAATGCAGCATAGTCGCCTTAAAGAGAAAACCGATTAAAACTGGGTTATTCATCCAGATTGATGCCGTGTCTGCTGGTTTGCATTGTTTTTATACTTTAAACACATCACTCTCAGCTGCTTTTTAAATGTTTTATAGGCTTATCTGTTTAATCCTAACTTTTTTTCATTCTCTGAAAACCTTTCTTGTAATTTCTCTATAAATCTGCTGCAGTTTGGCTGTAGCCTCCAGATGTTTCCTGCTCCCTTTGGTGCCCAGAATCAGATTTTTCTTTTGAAAGTGCCTGCTGTTTAAATTTGAGTTCTTAAGGAAAGCTGGCGTTTCCTAGAAAGATGATAAGAGGAGCTCTGAGCTGCAGGGCTGTGCCGATATGCACGGTAGTCAGTCAGCATTCATTCAACTGAAGTTTCTGCTCAACAGGCTGCAACACAAGATAAACTCAGCGGCTCATTTGTTGTCTGACTTACAGTTTAAGTCGCTGCAGTAAAAGAAAGTGCTCGGCTACTTTGCCTCAGTTTCAGTCTTCCTCTCCACAGTACACTGATTACATTATTTAAAATGTATTAATCTAAATTAATACTTTTCTCTGTGCTGGAATCATGTCAGCAGTTAGCTTTCATTTCACCCGCCTCTCTAATAAAGATCAACTTCTTGGTTTGTATTGTGGTCTGACGAGATTTGCATTTCTTCCTCTTTCAGGCTGTTTTAGCTTTGGCTGTGCTCTTAATGCGCTCTGATTCCATATTTTAAGAAATCTTTTAGTTAAAATCGAGGGTACCCATAAACGAATGATATCTCTAACTGGGTTTGTGTGGTAGGGAACTGAATTTGTAGTAAATCCCAGTTTAAAGAGGAATTGTTCCACTCGTCCAGTATTTTCTGTCATATATGTAATGTTACAAAGCCTGATGTTCATATTAATTATGAACGAGATTCATATTGCTCGAGTTATTTTATATTATATATTTTATGCGGTCACGCACAAAAAACAAAGCACAGCCACCAAGTACAGCTAGCACTCGGTGCTGCCCCTCTGTAGGCTGCTGGAAGCCGGCCAGTCAGAAGAAAGTGTGGATTATTAGATCATTTTTTCAGCATAATTATAGTAAGTAAAGATTTAGTTCCAAAGAGTAACCAAATACAATTAAAATGACAATAAAATAAGGTTAAAAATAAATAAATCAATTAGTCTGTCACATTTTTTTTAGGTTATTTGTATAAAATAGCATGAAATAAAACTCACAGCCAGGCCCTGATTTACTGTCATTTTTGTATTTTGATCTCAAATGAAAATATAAAGAAGCTAAAATGTTGATGAAGCTCTTAAAAATGTGCCCGTAGAGGAGATTCGTCCCCAAACAGACCGTGTAGGCCGGGAGGAGCTGGTTTCTGTTTCTGTCCCTGTTATCTGCGAGCCAGTTGTTAGCACAGCTTCCTGTTCGATCAGCAGATTCCTCAGTTTCTGACTTTAGTTGATGAGAGCTGACAGAAAAGTCAGACCTTAAACCAGCACACGTTTCATTTCTGCTCCACAGTTCATCGGCTACACAGAGCTCAGGAAAAATCAGTTTTAGTTCAGCGTGGTTTTAAAGTTGTCGCGGAACACTTAACTGGAGGCTCCTGATTCAGTGTCCAGTTGCTCAGTAGTCCATCCACGGTGGTGGTTTGACTTCCATGTTATTTAACCGCAGCTGATTGCAGAAACTGTGACCTCTGACCTCTGTGACAGCAGGTTAGCTGCTCAGACTCACCAGAGTGACGTGTGTGTGTTTGTGCATAAATGTGTGTTTTCTGGACTTCGCTGTTGACAGGAGGAGGGGGGATAATCTACCTGTCACTCATCTGATTCTGTGCTCTGATTGGTCCATGCAGCTCCCTGATCCTGAGAACTTGCTGGACGGGTATGGTGGCAGCGTCGGGAACACCATGCCTACGCTTACCGTTAGTAACAGCTGCCCGGCCAACCTGCATGCCGTCAAGAGAGAGCTGACTGGTAAATATCACACACTCAGGTTACATGTTACCAGATACCATAGACTGTCGATGAAAGATGATGGACAGTTGGGCTTTGTGGACTCTGCATTTTGTGCTTTAGCTTCATCACGTTGGGTTGCTATCTTTCTGGAGCCAGAAGCAACCGTACTTAGATATGAGGAGGGAGTGCTAAGTTTTAAACCTAGCAAGCTTGGTTAGCGAGCTGTTAATTGGCGCTAACAGATGAACAAAATGCTAGAAGGGTAGTACCACACTGCACAGTATTATTCCATTTCAGCGAGTGCAATTCGCAGCAACATCATTTGTTGTTTCAGGCTGTAAAGATGTTTGTTTCTGCTCTGAAGCTGGACATTTCAACACGGAGGTCTGTAGGGTTTACTTGCTTTTAGAGCCAGCTTTAAGTGGTCATTAGGGGAACGGCAATTTTGGGCTTTGCTGTGTTGGCTTCAGTTTTCAGCCCTGGAGTTGCTACTTGGCAGTTATGCATCAGTCAGGCTGTGAACCTGCAGACTTCTCATCAAAGAGGATGTTTGTCAGCTGGACAAGGAAGCATTTTCACCATACGTGATTTCCAGGAGCTCGAGCTGCAGACAGAAACTTATAAATATGCAGCCTCTGATTAGACTTTGAGGTCTTCCGAGTGCATTAAATCACCTGCAGGGGGCGTCACAGTGACCACAAACACAGTTTACGTGAAAGCTTTTCAGATGAAAGCATTGTAAAACACAGACTCCTTGCAGGAGTGAGCTGCTGTGATTGGCTGCTCCTTCACGACGATTTGTGTCTGTCGTCGCGTGGCATCGTTCCAGCGTGCCGGGAGCGAGGCCCTTCGCTCTGTGTTTCCCTCTGTGCTTCCCTCTTGTTCCTCCTGGCTGAAAATGTGTTCTTAATTTTGATGAGTCAACATCACGACTTCCTCTGAACACGCACACACGGCCACGGCAGCCACTCGTATTTTCCCACATCATCAGTTCCAACTTCCTGTTCAGTCAACATGAACTTTTTGTCCAAGCTGAAACTGACATTCTGCTGTTTCTACGCTACAAAACAAGCGACATTAAAAAACACATGAAACAGAACTGACAGCTGTTGCTGCAGCAGAGAAAAGTCACTCACGATGAACTCATGATTGATCAATCGAATATTGATTGCGATTGATTTTTGTTGTTGTTGTTGTTGCAGAGGTGGAGTCCAAAGCTCTGATTAAAGAAAGACAGAAGAAGGACAATCACAACCTCAGTGAGTACGGCAGTATTACTCCACCAGCCAGTAAAATATTTGTGTGTTACTGTGTGGCATTCTTTCAGCAGATCTCAGAGGCAGATGTGAACCTGCAGGTTTCAGGTGTTTCTGATTCCTGACATGCTTCAGTTTTACAAAACTGACTGACATACTTGTGCCGACACACGTGCACGCTCCACTATAGAGAGAAATCTTTGGCTACTTCGCAGAATGTTGGTCGGTCTGAGCCGACTGGAAAACGTGTCTTAAAAGAAAAGCAGTAAGAAACGTAAACTCTCTATAAAAGATTATTAAAAACAAATTAAACTACTAAATCTTCAATTCAGTTTAAATATTCACATCGTAAATATCATGTTCAATATAGACAAAATACAAGTCATGACAGTGTTACGAGGCGGAGGTGGCCATCGGTGTGACCTTCTGACTGCGGCAGGATGAGTGTTTTGATGTGGCCGTCTAACACGTCCTTTCTGTCACCTCCACACCCACAAAGTTACTGGACTGTGGATCTGTTTGAGTCTGTTGTGGCCACTGCAGACTCATAAAACATCCTGAGCATCATCCAGCAGATGTTAAAGATCCTCAGCAGTCTTTGTAGAGGGCTTCAGAGTTTGCAGTGAAGCCCAGTTTATTGTCAGTGTGAACACTGAGCTTTGTTAGGAAGTTGCATCAATGAAGTGTGCAGGTATCCTGCACAGGCAGAGATATCAGCTCAGCACAGACCGATAAAACACTGTGACTCCCTAAAACTATATCACAAACCTCCTGGATGATCCGTACTTCACAGTAAGTCGTATATTTGTCACATAGTATAATTTAAATGCTCCAAAAGCACAAACAGTTTAGGCTTCCACTTCATTGACTCCAGTTAGCAGAAGGAAGTCCTAGCATCCTCCCGCCCCCATACGAAGTCTAAAGAGAACTGGCTCACTTTCGGAGCCAGCCTCGAGCCGCGCCCTGCTTGGCAGCAGATAACTTCAGGTGAGGAGAGAGCGTCGCATAGTTCGGCTTCCTGAGTTTGCAGCTTCACATACTGCTCTGCTGCAGCGCGTCTCGGTTTGAAGCAGGGAACAGAGAATTTTCTCCGTCTGTAATAAAAGATGTGGAGAACATCCGATCGAGACTCATTCATCTGATTGTTCTCTCATAGCTGAAGAAGGGAAACTGGTGACTGGGAGCATTTCATTAAAAAAAAAACACCAGTTGGAGGTGGGGTGGGGGGGAGGTGCGTGACGCCATGAAGTGAACTTTTAAGGGTCAGAAACAATCAGTATTGCTAAAGGAAAACTTTGATATTTGATGTAAAAATTCAAATTTGATGCAGATGATTTGAAGGCACGTATCTGTCCTAACTGAAGCCTGAGATCTGCTGACTGTCTGATTCTTATTCCTGTTTTTTGTCACCTTTGGTTTCAAAATGCTTCTGTTGCTGCTTTTATTGCAACATTTTTCCCGTGCAGAGTTGTATAACTCCTGCCGAATGCATTGACATCTGCACGCTAAAATAATGTCGATGTGTTCCTACAGTCGAGAGGAGGCGGCGCTTCAACATCAATGACCGGATCAAAGAACTCGGAGCTCTGATCCCTAAATCCTCTGACCCGTTAGTAAACGCTGCACACTCACACTCTGTACACTTACACTCCTGCTGGTACCAGTAGTACAACAAAAGCAAAGACACAAAGAGACTACAGAGACAAAGGCACAGATTTTGCACTTGATTAATCAGTGAGATGTTGGCTTATTTAAAGTGATACAGCTGACTTTTTCCATTTAAATAATCTTTGTAAGTTTTATTTGAAATTGAAATTTGATATATATTGTTACATAGACTTTACTTTTAGTTCAGCACTCATGTCTGTACGTGTTGGCAGCAGCACCTCGTTATCCTGCCGTGTGTTAACGAGGCACTGAATGTGATTGGTGTTTTAGTGAGACGAGGTGGAACAAAGGAACCATCCTGAAGGCGTCGGTGGATTACATCCGCAAGCTGCAGAAGGAACAGCACAGAGCCCGAGAGATGGAGGAGAGGCAGAGGAGGCTGGAGAGCACCAACCATTCGCTGATGCTCCGCATACAGGTGAGCAGAGGGGGCGGGGTGTGGTGGTGGTCTGAGCTACTGTCCTTGTCCATCACATGGACGTAGCTGCAGCTTCACAAACTCTAATTTCTTTGTTTTGCAGGAGTTGGAGCTTCAGGCTCGCGTCCATGGCCTCTCCTCTTCCTCCTCCAACTCACCTCCCCCGAAGTCCTCCTCCTCCTCTCTGGACCCCCAGACCCTGCTCTCTCCTCCACTGCTTCACCCCTTTTCCTCTTCCTCCTCCCCCCCCTCCTCCTCCTCCCTGGTGACTCCCTCTCTGGGTCTGGATGCTCTGACTTTTACGGACCTAGATGAGCCTCAGGGAGCCGCCACTGTTTTCTCCCCAGACCTGATGTCTGACATGGGGCTGACTGACCTGAACGGCCTGGGGGGCCTCCTGATGGAGGACGGGAGCGGGGCAGGAGTGATGTCCGACCCTCTGCTGTCCTGCGGAGCTTCGAAGACCAGCAGCAGAAGGAGCAGCTTCAGCATGGATGAGGATCTTTGATGACCCCATCGCGCACAGGGATCTGATTGGCCAGAACTGAAGGCGGGACTTCATTTTTAATTTTTTTTTAGGGAACTGCTTTTCAATCTGTGACATCAACAAAGCAAAAAACACACCAAGGTGATGCAGTGTAACAGAAACCATCAGCATGTCTTCCAGGGGACTCCCCTTTGTCCTGAAGTGTTGTTGTCACAGCTGTTGTTGCAAACCCCAGTGTCAAAATTGTGTTCAGGTTCCTCACACGCACTCACCTGAACTGCTGAGACTCAAAGAATCATAATTTTTTTTTTTTAAATGTGGATTTACGAGGTTTTATAAAGTAGTTAAAATACTGAGACATTGATTGTGCCTCAGTTCATTCCTGTAAATATAAATGAATCTATAATCACTGTGCTGGAAAACTGAGTAGAGATTTTTATTGGATCAGAGGAGTCTGCATAGCTTCAGGACTTTGATTCAGTTTTATTTTTAATATATGCGCTGCCTGATTGAAACCATGTCCAGAGCAAAAAGAAGGGAAACTTTTGTAATCGGCCACCAATCCTTAAGAAAACTGTTCATTTCAGTTTGTTTCATCTTTAGAATTTTATGTTTTATTAGCATTGAGACTCTTCTCATACAGCAGCCAAATTAACATTTTAAGCTTCAATCAATTCTTGCTGATGAGTTTATAATCGTTAGCCTTCAATTAAACCAGCTACAGTTTCCATTGCTTGAGGCTAATTGTAAGCTAACTCTTAGCTGCAGGTGTTTTGTCTTCAGGAACCCTCCTATCTTATAACAGACAGGTTACCAAACAAGAACTTGTCGAGTTAGCTGTTAATGTTAAAACGTGCTCGCGTTAAAAGCTAACTAGTTACATACTGTTGTTCATATTCTCCTACCTGCTAGTTTAGTTAGCTACTGTACAGAGCTAGCTGCTATCTGTGCTTGATGTAATTAGCTCTAGCTAAAATCGTGTCATCTTAGCAGCTATGTTTGTTTGTGGAACGATTTCCTCATATGTTACAGTCGCCGATGTAAATGTGTCTGGGTTTTGTTGGAAATTTAAGGTGCTCTGCTGGTGATGCTGGTTAGGAAAAATAATACTGACTGCAGACAAGTTAGTAAGATGTGGGAACAGAGACACCAAGACACAAGATAAATGAGATCTCTGCTGATCTCTGTTACTTTATTACTGCACGATCACAACATCAGCCCAAATGGCTGCCAACATCGCTCCCTTAAATATGGCAGACAACAGCCTGCAGACTGCGGTTCATGTGCCATGTGGGATCTTTGTGTTTGTGTCTAGTTTTATTTCATTTTCAGTTACTGTTTGCCACATTTGTGGCTCCAAAACCAACATTAACCACGTTAAAATGCTGGTTTTTGTTGTTTATCTGACATCTAATAGATCACCTTTGGAATCTTGGTTTTCTTCTATTTATCAGTAATTGGATGATACTTTTTTAAGACTCTGAGTAGGTGGTGGAGGGTGCCGACTAGTCATGTATAAGTGACTTATTACAGTTGATAATGGCCATTTATTGGGCTGATGTCATTCATTGAATTTCCCAGGTGATACTAAATCATGGCCAAACAATAGTATTAATTCCTGCTAATGTCATCTGTGCCGTGTACTACAAAGCAAGAATATATAGCATATATTCATAACTACAGCCATCTCAGGGCACTATACATTGTATATTACAGAGTTCACAAGCCATCAACTTTCTATGATCAGCACTTGGCAGCAGTAGGGAAAAAAAACCTACCTTCATAACTGTAAAAAAAAAATATGCAACAGAACCAGGCTCATGCCTTCATACCAGGGAAAATATGAAGGAAGGGTGAAGACGGGAAAGAGGAACTTAATTACAGGAAAAAAGCACTGAGCTTGATGTGGCCAGTAAAACCTGTTGGGCTGTTATGGATTGTTAGCAATGCAAGTTACAGTAACACAGACTGTATGAACCTACTTGCATTCAGTTATTGATACAGGAAATACACAAATATGTTTTTATGCTTGGTCCTGATTTTCTGCCAGGTTAATTTTGCAGTCCTGTTGGTGTTTATCTCAGAGAATGTTTAATAAATGAAGTGAACTGCACTTACATTTGGTCAAAGCGATTTCTGGCAGATAGTTAAACAGTATATTCACTTTAGGAAGGAACCAGATTAGCAGTATTCGACAGCATGCCTCTCTGGTTTTATTTAGAGAGCCACTCTAAAGTTTTGTCAGATCCTTCACAGCTCTCTGTGACCCGTTCTTCTTCACAGAAGAAGGCAGTGTCGCTTGATTGGTGCTGAATGACGCGCCAAACGCGTTACTGTGCTCACGGTTTGATAAAGAAAGGCTGATGTAACGAAGAAAGCTGATAACTATTGTTGTGATACCAATTATCTCTGAATGTTGCATTAGGTGTAAGCCAGAGAAAACCTGTCTGTGCTAGAAATGAGATTTAATACCTGAATAAGCAGAGTCAGGTGTTCAGTTATGAGGATCAGGTGATTCTTGCATAAAGGGATTGCTGTTTTTTAAATCTATGTTTATGTCATTTATGTTTATCATATGTTTACAACCATATAGTTTGTCATTGTTTATTCTCAGTTAACAGTTTGTTTTATAGATCCATCAAGGTTCACATGCCAACTTTTATAGAGAAATAAATCATTAAACAGAAGTTTGTCTCATTCTGTGTTGTGTTTGCTCACTTACTGCAAAAAAGTTTTTTTTGTACAAGAAATCTCACAACATTTATAACTTTGTAAAGACTAGTAATAATATAATTGTTTTAAATAATCTAGAAAACTCTGAGCAAAAGGTGTGCAAGTGTTCTGAAAGCTGCTAATTGTTACAATAAAGTAATATGTAGAGAAAAACACAGTCTCTTTACAGCATCTAACACTTAGACCAGACAGGAGTCACTCTGTTCATGTCCAGCAGGGGGAGCCATTCTGCTGATTAACAAAACAACATCATTCCAGTCTATGTAAGTCCATAACAAACATCCATTTATATGCCAGGAAATTGGAAGAATTATTCAAGAGGTACTCAGGAGCTTTAATGAAGTAAAATTTCTATAATAGCATTGTTAAAAAAAACCCAAAACCCTCCATTACAAAAATGTCCCGGAAGTAAAATTGTACTTAAACTTCTCCCTGCACAATGATTTCACAGGAAATCATAGGAGGCATGATACATAAACTCTCCTAGATTTGCCTCAGCCTCCTCATCCAGATGAAGTGTGATTCACAAGACCTCAGTGGAGTGGGTTGGAGGCCAGTTGAGGCCAGCTCTCCTGTGGTTCCACCACCCACAAGAGTGGCTGTAGGGATTTAGTGTAATGTGGATAAAGAAGCAATCAAAAATTCATAAATGCAGGAATATTTGTTCACTGGCCTTAAATATTTAAATAAATGACTTGTGTTAAATTTACTGTCCCTGAAAATGCTCTGGATAATATTGAAGCATGTCCCAAGTTCCTTCGGGGTCAACCTTCAGGATCAATAAAGTTTTATTGAATTGAATTGAATTGTAAAATACAAATTTCCACAAGAATATAAAATTGCTTCACCATCAAATCATTTAGTCAAGCAAACTAATGCATCTTGATTATTATAGTTTTACGAGCAGGCTATTACAAAGCCAAAAACCTACTTATATAAAAATGCTGAATGTTTGAGGTGAAACAAAAAGTAAAGATAAAACAGTTAACCTTTAATTTTATAACCTACATTAAAATTTATTTGAGTTTAATTAAACTCAAATCCACATGTTTATATAAATCTGGCTCCAGGTCATGATTTATATAAACATGTGGATTTGACAGCAGCAAATGTGGATCAACCTACCAGTGAAAAAAACACTGATATGTTTGAATCTAGAAGCAGTCTGTGGGAAAATGTCACAGTTGTTTTGGTTACCATGTGTTTATTCTGGTTTAACTACCATTGTGGGGACAATGATCCGGGTCAAATGCTGTGAGGACATTTTGGAAAATGGGGACACTCTTTGAAAAGTGTGGGTCAGAGCTCCAGAGGCTGTCTAAAGGGTCAGATTAGATCCACGTTCTGGTTCAGGGGCCGGGGAAAGCAGTACGTTGATCACAGTGCTCACTAGGACAAACGGACAAACGTGTGCATGTATCTCTCTTTGATGTTGGCCTGTCCCGGGTGTCAGAGGTCAGGTACCATTGTCTCTCCAGTGATTTCCTGCTTCCTGTTTGGACGTCCTGGCACGCTGCTTTGACAAACACACCCGCTTCCTGTCCCCACAGGAGTTACTTCCTGCTCCACCCGGCCCTGCTCCCCCCGCTGAGCTGTCAATCAGAGACACGATGGGACTGGCTTTAGAAACTCTCAGTTTTATTTGTGCAGTGTTCAACAGCTCAGCAGGAAAACAAAATTCAGAGAATGTAAAACTACTGTAACTCTGATTAAGGTTAGAAATCATTTACCTAAGCAAGCCCAGGAGCTGTGACAATGTAACACAGGACAAATCGTGATCAGGGTGTGTGATTAGTCCATCTGGCTGTCATTCAACAGTACAAAATGCTCGGATGTGGAGTTTACTGTCATGAGAAGCTGTCAGATATTCCCATTTAACATTCTGGTATCAGACAAATGTCCTAAACTATTATTCAGAATCGTTGAAGATTGCTTTTCTGTCAGTTTATCTGTGATTGTCTGTGGAGTCGTAGGATGCCTGAGGTGATCATGTGTTTTCAGAGGCACTTGTGTCTTTTCAAAACTCAAAATAATCTTTTGTTTCCTGTAGACTTGGAGAACCAAACCAGACAAAACCAGCTGAGGCGAAGTTAAGTGCAGTCTGTAATCGGCCTCCTGGTCAGTGAAGTGTGCTGGAGTCCACATCATTAGCACACCTTGACATCATTTTGTAGTCCTTCTCTGATTGGCTGCTCTATGTTGGGAAGCAGATGGAGCAGCACTCTAAACAGATCTCCAAGCAGTCGGATGAGCCGCAGCAATTTTCAATTATCCCACAATCCAAAACTGCCTGACATGCCTCCTCGGTGCAGGCTGCCTCCCCTGCGGCCTCCATGCAGCAGCAGCAGCAACCGCCAGCCGCAGCATCGCAGCACCCGGCCCCGCCCATTCCACACACCAGACAGTCCCCCACAGCCGAACACATGGACAGCAGCTCGCAGAAGAGACAGGCGAGGAGACAGTGAGCGCAACAGTCTGTAAAGACAACCGATTGGATAGGAAGTCAGGTGACCAGTCACTGAGGTGATCAGTTAGCAGTTACCTTTTTTTTTTTTTTTTTTTAAACTGCAACGTTTTCTTTCAAATGACCTCTAATACTCCTTTCGTGCTCGGCATTCTCATTCTTGAATTTTAGTAGAGTAGCTGTGCCAGATGGCCGCCTCTCCCTGATCCTGGTTCTGCTCGAGGTTTCCTCCTCTTAGAAGGGAGCTTTTCCTTCCCACGATTTCCAAGTGCTTGCTCACAGGGGCTGGGCTGAGTTTTGGGGTTTTCTCTGTAGTATTGCAGGGTCTTTACAATATAAAGGATCTTAAGGTGACCGTTGTTGTTATTTGGCACTATAAATAAACCTCAATTGAATTGAACTGAATTGAATCAAAAGTCAACATAATCCCTATCTTGTCACAGTTCCTACTATATTAGCTAGTTTTGTAGTTGCCCTTGATATTTGTAGTTTCTGCTGCCTTTTATCTTCAGGTTTCTGTGTTAGATTTATGTGTTTTGTTCACTTCCTGTTTCACTTTAAAGCTGAGTTTCCTCATGTGTCCTATTCTGGTTTTATTTCCTGCTTTTCTTCCTTTCAAGATTGTTTGCGGCACCTTAATTAGTTCCACCTGTGTCGAATTACCCAATCAAACCTCTCTGTATTTAGCAGTTTTTCCCCTTTTCTTTGTTAAATCGTCTCTTTATTTAACCATTGTTCCCATGTGCCTTTAATGTAGTTTGACCTGGTTAAATTGGCTTTTTAAATGGCTTTTCTCGATACCTCCTTTATACCAAGCATGACACATTTATCCTTTATATCCTCGAATAACTGTCACATTGAATGAACATTGTAATTGTATACAGGTGACAGAAAATAAGTGTAATTGAATTACTTTAATTCTTTAACATCTTTAACAACATTCATTTTCAATGAATTTCAAGTGGCTTAATGTTACATTAACACAACTTTTTCTCCATGTAACTTTTTTTTCACATTGTATTGTTTCAATGTTTTTGCATACAAACTCTGGAAAAACTAAAAAATGAAACTAGATGACTTTTAGTTTCACAGATTTAAGAGATGATGACACTTTTTTGTTCTTTCATGCAACATTGTGACTCTATTCTTGAAATATTGTAGCTTCATTTTTCAGCATGTTATTGTCTTTGTGTGTTTGTTTATTGAGTTTCATCTGAGGGTTTTTATCTAAGCAGACAGTTTTTAGTTGAGAGTAAAGACAAGCGGTGAGTTTTCTTACTGTCAGAATCAGAAGTAGGAATCTGAATTTTAGCCGTTATGACAGGAAGCAGCAAGAAAGTTCTCGTCACGTGGCCTCATACGAGCAGAGTCAGGACGTTCTGGCATTTAAACTTTGTGAGAAAACAAGCAGCTTCTAACAGATCTGATGACCACTGGGCGCTGCTATCACCCTGTCATCCTGCGGGGAGTCGGTTGGTAGAAAGCAGAGCGCCTGATGCTGGGAGGAGCAGGAGGGTTCATCGGCCCGTGCGTGCTCTGCAGAGATAAGCAAACCTCCATGCTGGAGGTGCACGGCTGATAAACACAGAGATGGGAGTGTTTTCATTTTTCTGATATGTGATCTGTTTTTGTTCCATCACATTTAGAGCGCAAAGGTCGGCTCACAGCAGCAGTTTGGAACGGTTATCGTCCTACAAAGACTCTTCAGCAGCCCTTCCTGTTAATCTGGCAGTAGTTTAATGTGCTACTCATTAAAACTATCATAAAAAGTATGTTCCAAAAATTGCATTCTTCCTTACGCATCAAGCCAAATGTATTTTCATTCCAACAAAACACCTTTATGAATTTATCATGAAATAAAACGATCTCGATTTGGAAGATTAAGAAGGAGTAAACATGTTAGCCATGAAGCTGCTCTTTGATTCTGTTGGCTTAAAGTTTAAACATCTGCACCACCAGCTGTGCACTGTCATCATAGGGCAGTGGAAAAACCAGTAGTATGTGTTACTCTTTGATCTTATTTTGGTCCTTTAGGCAAAGAACTTCAGACAGTAAAAAACTGCCAATACCTGTGATGCTTATGCTCTTCTTCTGGCTTTCTGGGGGAAATGCATGAGGACTCCGGGTGTCAAGGGCCGGTGTCCTGCAGGTTTTAGATGTGTCCTTGATCCAACACAGCTGATTTAAATGGCTAAAACTACCTCCTCAACATGTCTTGTGTTTTTCAGAGAACTGGTAACGAACTATGCCTCTCATTGCATATCATTGATCCAGGGTGATATCTAAAACCTGCAGGACACCGATCCTTGAGGCCTGGAGTTCCCCACCCCTGCTTTAATGCCATAACCTACATTCACTCCATCTAATAAACTCGACTTAAAAAAAGAGAGCTACATTTCACCTGCCAATTTCATCCAGATACAATTAATTCTGGTTATAAAAACTAGGACAATGACCACCAAACCCAAGGTTGCAAAATGGTCCACAAACCAGTGGCTGAACATCTGTACCACCATACTTCAGAGAAACCGAACACTCCAGGGAGACCGTCCCAACATTAACATGCTTTTAATTTAAAGAGGATTTTTTCCTTTATTTTTTGTGCTATAAATACTGTTACATCTGTTCATGGGCAGTGTACTAATAAGATAATAGAGGATAAAAAAGGAGGAGGCACAACACAGCATGTTTTAGGGAGTGGATGAACTAAAGGACCCTTTTCACGAAGAGGACTTACGGCTCTGATTGTCTGAGGACCATCAGGGCTGCAGGCTGGCTGTAATGAGCTCTGCAGCCTGTAGGTAGTGCCTTCTTTTAAAGCCTTTTAAAAAATGATTATCGGATACATATCACAACGATAAAACTATAAAGCTGATTGTCTCACCATCTCCAGCGACCTCCTTAATGTGGGTGGCGTCTGTCTTGGAGGAGGCTTGGCTTTTAGTGGAGGATAAACGCTTCTGCTTGGTGCTCTGATGGTGGTGATGATGATGATGTCTGTTAGAGGTGGACGACCGAGAGGCAGGTGGAGGAGGAGGAGATTTCATAGAGGAAGATGGAGGAGTGCAGACGGGGGGAGGGGATGTTGACGATGAGCTGTCCACACCTGAGAAACAGAGACATGACATCACGGGTGACATCACAGAAGACGTCAAACTGAGCCACATCACACTCGGTCAGATACGATTACTCACCTTTCTGTTTCCACGGTGACGATGAGGGCTGAGCGGGCAGGAGACGAGAGACGTCATTGGTGGAGGAGCCATCTGTCGAACAGTCATCACTGCTGTCAGGGTCTGACCTATGAGAGGCAGGGGGAGGAGCTTCATCTGCAGGAAGAAACAAGCGGTTCCAGGTGAGCTGGGTGTAGGTGAGAGGGCAGACTGTTTTACCTTAACCTTTGATTCACAGGAAGTCTTTACATTAGTTCAGCCTGGTGTTTCTCCTTGTTGATCCTACTGCAAACCTCTTCAGTCAGCTGTGTCTCTAACAAGAATCGGTTCTTGTTTGTAAACCACTCAGACCGAAGCACCAGAAAACCTTCATATGGCTGCTCTTTTAGGAATTTCTTGTTTGGAGAATTTTGGGGAAACTGACCTTTTTGGTTTGTTTATGTGTCAGAAACTTATTGAGTGGGAGGAAACCCAGCCTCTAAGTCTCATCTCAGGGCGAAAAGTAGAGCAGCGGCGTTCTGAAACAGGAAGTCCTCTCAGACAGGATGCGTATCCAGACGGAAGCTCTTAAACTGACCTCAGGTCAGAGTTTAAGAAGCTCTGTGATGCCATTAGAAACATGGAGATAGTCTGAAAACTCTCTGCTGCACTGAGGTTACAGACACCCACTTAAGCCCCGCCCACACACACAGTCACACACATTTAGCAGCTGACAGCTGGATGCTTGCACAAACTGTATATGAAAGATGAAAGTAGCTGCTGTGATGTCATTCGGTGGTATTTGAACCCCTTTTTTGAGGCGTCACTGTTAGTGTTAGCTACTGTTAGCTACTGCCATGTTTCTTCTAACGATGCTGTCTGTGTTGAGCGCTCAGTGGATCTGCGTTCGACTACTCCGCCTAGGCTGCACTGTCGAGTGCAGATCCACTGAGCGCAGCACAAGCTAGCAAGACAGAAGCTAAGCTCGTTACAACACGGCAACTGCCTCAACTCTACCCGAAATTGAACCTCCCGCACCCTCATTCAGATCTGGCGTTTGGAACTATTTTGGTCTTCGTGTGAAGTATGACCCTGAAGGTAAGCGCGTCATGGACAAAAGTAAAACAGTAAAATTCACACGGTGGTGCTGTAAGAAAACTAAACCCCCATACAGCTGTTTCAAAACTAGGGGTAAGTAAAAAGTAAGTAAAATTTTATTTATATAGCACCTTTCAAGATAAAAATCACAAAGTGCTTCACAGGAGCTAAAACCTAAAAATAAAAATCAACCAAAAGCAAGTTTAAAAAGATGAGTTTTTAGCTGTTTTTTAAAAACAGACCAAAATGCATTTTGTTGAGGCTGTAAAATGTTTATTTTTGCAGTAGAGTTGCTTTTGGAGCCACCCTGACAAGGCCTTTGTCGTTTTGGCTCTCCACACTGGCTTCAGTGTACCCTCTTATAGCTGTGATTAGACATTTCAGATTCGAGGTAACTCTCTTGAACAGCGGTCCCCAACCTTTTTTGCGCCACGGACCGGTTTATGCTTAACAATATTCCATGGACCGGCCTTTAAGGTGTCGCGGATAAATACAACAAAATAAAACTAGTACTGGTACCGAAAAAAAGAAGATTTATTCATAACACAGTGAAAAGACCCAGGAAAACCGAGTAAACGATAAAAACGATAACAAAATAACGCTGGAAACAGATAAAAACCCTGAAAACTATACATTTGACACCTGAGCCTCAACTCTCGCGGCCCGGTACCAAACGACTCACGGACCAGTACCGGTCCGAGGCCCGGGGGTTGGGGACCGCTGCTCTTGAATACTTCCCACCCGGTCATCCAGCTGGTAAACAGTGTCCTTCAGGTTTTATTTGTGATCAGTTTTCTTTTGTTTTCTTCCCACTGCTCATTGCCAATTTTTCCTGCCATTGTCTGAGACATGCCACGGTCTCTCTTCACCACATGGCTCAGATCTCTTCCTGTTTGTGTCTCTTAATGGTTTCTGTCTTGCTGCAGTTGTTTTTTTCTTTTTCTTTTTTCTAAAGTTATCTGGGACTTTCTCTGTTTACACATCCATCTCTGCCCCTGAGTTCCTCCTGTCTCACCTCATCAGACCTTCTAATTGTCTCACCTGTGCTGTGATGCGGGAGCGTCCCGTTGGCTGTCGGTTGGATCACGATGCATTCTGACTGGTTTTCCGACTTGTTTTCGTCGCCTTCAGTGGCGTTAGATGCAGTAGAATGTGATGTCACATCCATCCTGTCAGAGAAATTAAAGCATAGAGAATAATTGTGACTAATTTGATCAATGAGAATTTCATTAACAGCACTGAACAGAAATTTAGACACAGATAACTGAACGTGGAAGCATTTAAATACAGATTTGAACTGGATTTTGCTCCTCATTTCGACTCAACTGAGTCTTTTCTATCCTTTAAAACTCTGCTGCCAATTAATTTCATTTAAATAAATAAAATCTGAAAAAAGTTCCAGACGATTTTTTTGTACAATAATATTTATTGAGGTCACGGAAATGTTCACATCCATACTAGGGACGTATTCAGAGTTACAGGGAGTGAAAGTACCTGTAAGGAAAGGGAAACTTTAAAAGCTTATTAATTTGTGTTATTCTTCCTGGTTGACTTTCATTTTTAAGCACATGAGGGACGACCCCGGCATAAAAGAGTCGGGAAGAAGGAGACGTTTCGTTTGCTACGGCTTATTTTTGGTGAGACAGGCCTTTAAAATGTACCCAGAACGCACTTTTAGAGATTTTCCCCAGTGAATTATCAGCAAAACAACTATCAAACATCCAGGGTAGAATTTCTTGTTAGCATACTTGTTTTGTCTAATTATTTTTAATTTAGTTAAGTTTCAGTTAAACTATAATAACCGTTGTGTGTTCTTCCATGTCACAGACATTAAACTGGTTCAGTTCTTCTGGTGAAACTATGATTAGTTCCATGATACTGGTGCTCAAAAACAGATCTTGAGAGCTAAAAAAATCTCTGCGTACTTTCATGGCCTATATTGCAAATTTTTAAAAAATATTGTGACAAACTCAACAGGAAAAATGCGACACAGAGATTTCAGTCTGCATTTCAAACTCCTGTGTTTTCTACTCTACTCAACCTCCAAGATTGCAGGTGTGTTAGCAGTAACGCACATGAAGAAGCAGGAAAAGTGCCCAGAGGTCATTAATTGCCACAGCCTCAGTCATAGCGGCCCTCGCTAGACACATTCAACCCAACCAGAAGCAAGAAAACACCGCAGTTCACATCATAAATGAACAACAACACAACATAACCACAATATGGGCATTGACCCTGTAAGTTAACACTTTAACATCAACGTGAAACATCCCAGGAGTCTTTGCAGTGGCCTCTCTCCTCGGGCTGCAACTTTATGAAGGTAAAAGTTTGAATGCCTTCAACAAACGCGAAAAAACAAACAAATACACACAAACAAAATTAAAAATCAGCTGATTTCCCCGGGTGTACTTTGAATTTGATCCCGTACCTGGTTTTAAACCAGCGTCACCATCCCAGCAGTTTGAACTTTGCCACAGCAGCTTTACTGGGAGAGCTGACCTTTCCTGCCATCACAAGCTTCTTGAATGTCTTCCGGCTTTGCAAACACTGTTTTCACCATAAAAGTCTAAATGCTGCCGAGCTTTTAGTCTTTTTATAGAAAAAAAGTGAGTTTGATGTGAAGGGATTAAGATTCCTGCTGTAAGTGGGGATGTCTTAAAGAGTAAATCAGCTGCTCTATGTTCTGTTGAAGCCTCGTCTTCATTGTTATAGATCAAGGCGAGAGTAACCGAGGCTTAGAGTATTCATTAAGGTATTTGTCGCATAGATACAACGCCATATAAAACAAATATAAAAGAGGTTATTTTCACGAGGCACAGAGATTTATTGGGGTGTTGACCACAGGGTGTTTAGCAACGTAAAAATGTCGTTTGTTGTTTTGGTTTGTGAACTTAAATAGTTTTATGTGTGTAGCGTATATGAGTGTAGGCTTGTTTGTAGTTAAACATGTGTATTGGGAAAATATGTCAAACTCTGATCATTAATTTACAAATTATAGAATCTGAAATAAGGACGTAGAAACAGACAGGTGTAAACTTCATCCTGCTCCTTTATGAGCACAAACATTGTTTGGATATAGAGATATTCATGACAACTGGCTGTCTTTGTTTTGTTTTTCTTGTTATTTTAGTTATATTTACATGTTCAAAATAAACTCTATTCTATTTATTTATGAGCTTTTATCTTATTTTTTATTGCACAGAAAAAAACAAATCTTTGAGAAACAATGGCAGAATTTTCTCTTCAAGGCAAATCCTACACCTGTAATTTGTTTTTTACTTTTTGTGTTACAAAAGGAGAAAAAAGAGGCGAGGATAAGACAGAGGAGGAGGAGGAGAAGAGTGAGAGATGGGAAAAGGACACTAGCATCAAACAGAATATTAACCTTATAAAAAACATCTTAAATAAGCTCGAGCGGCATCATTTATCAGCAGATATTTTTAGACTTTTTGTGGGTTTTCTCTGATTTTCCCATGAGCTCCAGCGCGTGTGTGTGTGTGTGAGAAACATCCATGTGCAGTGGTCTGTAACTCAGTGATCCAGGCATGCACTGGGTGCTTAAAAGCCTTCAGTCCAGCCATGATGTGAATATGAATGTGGCTCTCCAAGGATGGTGGGAAAGTCCCGCTCTGCTAATAATCAAAAGATGAGGCTGGAGACAGCATCAGACTCTCACCTCACAATTATTGTGGTTAAATGAATATCAGTGAAACTCCTTATGACTGTAAGGAGGTGGAAACTCTGCAACCAGATACCAAGAGAACAATCACACAAATATTTACAGTATCATAATATCTGTAATATAAACATCCACCCATCTACTTTCTTCAGCTCTTGGAGCCTGTCCCAGCTGTCACAGAGCGAGCGGGTATACACCCTGGACAGGTCGGCAGTTTAACACCAAGAGACAGACAATCCTTCCCCTCACGTTAAAACCTGCGGCCAGTTTAGATTCACCAGTTAATAGAACGCGTGTCTGAGGGAGGAAGCCACACAGACACGAGAAGAAGGCCCCAGCTGCTGGTTTTTAACCCAGGACCTTAATGCTGTGAGGCCAACCACTGCACCACCCATCCAAGCACAACAACATGATCTCACGCTGGCTGCTCACAGTTTCACATCAGAGCTCGATGAAAGAAACACCGAAGTTGAAACTCTCTGATGACATACATCCTTTAAACATCACGGCGTAACAGCGGTGAGTGTAATCCAAAATCATCAACCCTTTGAGAGCTGGATTCAAATTCTCCCACAACTTGTTACAGATGTCTTTACAGAAATGTGGCCAATCGTGTGGCAAGGATACGGATAGGTCATGTGAAATCTGTTAAAAAATACAAAACCTTATAAGCTTTGAGTTTCCTTTTCCACTTCTAATCAGAACACTGTGATGTTCTGCAGTGAACCATGGCTAACACACCAAGACCCAGAGTGACGATAAAAGCAGCTCAGCTCGTGGAAATGAGTCGAAAAACTGCGATAAACAACATTTCAGAAATTTTTCAGAGCGTCTGTCATAGATGAAGGGAACTTATATGGGCATGAGAAACACTTTTAAAGAGCCTTTACAATGATATACCAGTATAATATAGTGGAGACATCGATGACCACAGTCACTTTAGTTGCTCTAGTATCACCTGAAGGTTAATAATCATGGATTACGTCAGTATGAGTTCATGCTAGCTCCCAGCTTCAGGTACAGTTATGTTTCAGGTGAGTCTGCAGGAGGCGTCACCTGAACGCTGCAAACATTCATACACATAAAGAGCCCAAAGCCAGCCTCTGTTTTGCCTTAATGATGCATTCGCTGTTTAATTTGTGATGTTCATCAGGAAAACAACAGCTTTACTCAGCTGTTTAAGATATTTTATTTCCCGTTTTTTCAAATGATTTCTCAGTTTGAGATGTTAAATAAATTTACGTATCCATCTTGTTATTATTACACACTTCAGTGAAATGCAGGTGTCTTTAAAACACCTTAAAAAACTATTAAATATCAAATCCTGGAAGTTACTTAATCGCAGAGAGAAAACAGACAAATAAAGAGAAGTTTCTCACCTGCAGCTTCCTTCTTTCTTTTTTCTTTCTTTCGTCAGTTATGTCGTCCTGCGTCTGAATAAACACTTCGCTGTCTTTCTGTGTGCAGCGTTCACATGTGTGTGAAGACCACCGCCTCCTCCGCTTCCTTTAAAAGCACACACACACACAAACACACACACACGCAGCAGGGCTGGCTTCTCCTCTTCAGGGTCACTGGGGCAGCAGTCAGCTGCTGGGCCCCTGTTTAACTGTTTAATTTTCCAGAAGCTCTGTAGAAATGAAGAGCTCCCACGATCAGCAGATGACCTGGGGAAAATGTTCAGAATAATATAAAATTATATATGTTTGATTGTAATGTCTGGTGTAATGAAATGACTTTCTTAAAAAAAAAATTTCCAATGATTATTATTAATCAGATATTAAAGTGTTTCATATAATTTAAAACATGTTTACAATTAGAAATAAATTATTTCTTTTTCTGGGAACTTTTTATTGATATTATAAAATATAAAAATGCTTAAAAATAAAGAATATAAAACATCCAGAAGCTCTGCTGAACACCCATGAATGACTGAAGTGATGCTGTGGCAGCACTGCTGTGTTTACCAAAAGCAATACGAAGCAGATGTTTTGATAATTAAAATAAAAACAAGCAGAAACTTTTAGAAAAAAGTGAAGCTTATTAACTGGAATCCATTAGAAATCGCTTCATGAGGTCGGCATTTGTGAAATCTGCAGCTGCTGCAGGACTCAGGAGTAATTCCAGATGTTTCAGCAGATGTTGAGCTGCCGGCGGAGGCTTGAATGTGCTTCACTGCTGCCACCTGCTGGACGCAGGGAGAACTGCACTTCATGATGAAACAGTCCAATGGTGTGAAAGGAAAGCTGCAAAGAGCCGAGTCTCGAGTTTATGATGATCGTTTCTATTAAACAACATCAGAAGATTTCAGACCAAAACAGTCACAAGCTGCTCACAAGTGAGCCCTAAACTTAATAATTAATAATTAATACGTGTCGCAGTAGCAGCTGGGACAGGTGTTAATCATTTAAAGACAACAAACACATGTGCATGCTCATTCACATGATTTATACAGCCTGTTTTCCTCCTGTAGACCTGAGGAAGGATTGCTCCTGAGAAACCTGTTCACTGTGTTATCGCTGTGTTCACAGACTGGAGTCCAAACATCAGAGATCAGTTTTATTCTCGTGTAAAGTGTCATGTGACCCTTCAGACCTGAGTCACTGCAGCTCCCTGCACTTTGGTACCTCTCAGTCTTCACGGTCTTGTCTGCAGGCTTAAACCTAAAATTACCTCCAAAAACCCAAACGCGTGTTCTAATGTCACAGCCTCCCCTCCAGCAGGTGGCGACACACACACGCCGTTTGTGCTCCTCGGTCAAAACTACAGAAGAGGAAAACAATAATGATGCGGACACAAAGAGATTTTTGCAGATTTTTGGTGATCTTGTAAAACGAGCGAGAGGCTGCAGCTTCAACCGGAGAAGCGACTCTTCTTCTCCTCCTTCTCCTTCTTCTTCTGTGAATTCACAGCAGCTGCAGCAGCTCATGGTGAGTCCGGGTTTGTTTGTCACGTTGTACTGATGGAGGAGAAGAGAGGAGCAGCTCCCCTTTTCTCCATCCTGCAGCCTAAACGCGGCTAAAATCTGCAGAAAAGTAAACGGAGTCTGGTCGGAGCGGAGCAGCAGAGGCGTGAGGAGAGCTCTGCTCCTGCAGGAGGTTAAAGCTGGTGATCAGGGAGGACTGGAGATGCTGTCACGTGGTTCGTGCAGGCTGCATGTGGAGAAATCAGCTGTTAAATCACTGCACGGTGGCGGGTTTCAGGTGTCACCAGGCGGGTTTTTTAAAGGACACTTTAGTGGTTTTAATGCAGGCTCGTCTGTTTCACATGCTTCTGTTTTCCTTTACCTTGCAGTTACTTCCCACAATCAATTCATGATGCAAATAAAGAGGTAAAATGAGTAACACACCACACTTTCAGTCTGATGTCGTTGTGTGCAGTCTTTGCTTCTGCACACCTTTGGTGGCTCGGACAGGGAAATATTAGTTATTAATGTTAAACAGACAGTGATGTCTTAATTGATGTGAATGAATTTGTGTGGACACTGTAGACCAATGTAATACAGACTTAGTGCGATAACAGACTGCGCCTTGTTTTTGTGGATATTGTTGAGTTATAAACAGATCGAATGAGCCTCCGGGTCCTGGTTTTGTGTCTGGACTTTGGTCTCTGGGGTTTAATCCAGGTGTTAGAGTATAGATCAAATGTATTAAATAAAACTGTTCTTAGACCTGAAACTGGTCTGATGAGATCTAGATTTTTTTATATTTTCCAAATAAAAGCCGCTCCACAGTCTCAGTAGTAATCTAGTCCAGGATCCGCAGGTCTCAGAGGAGTATTTTTTAGGTCCTGAACCGGGTCTGGAGTTTCCTGTCACGTTTCTTCTGAATCCAGGTTCCTCAGGGGGAGTGGGTTTCTAGCTGCTCAGCAGTGCCGCTGTTCTGAGAAATCGTCCTACACATATTATAATTTGACAGCGACTTATGACTAATCCAAACCATAACCATAATAAATGTTCACAATGGGTTAAAAATTATGTAAATTTGAGAGTTGTGTTACTCGAATGCGCAGAAACAACGGGTAGGGTGATTTGTGAGGTAGGATAGATTCCCAGTCCCCCCGAAAACGATGTACTGGGAGTGAGCCTTGAACCCCGGTTAGCTATCGAGCTGGTGGGTAACAGACGTCTCCGAAAACGTCGGAGCGCTTTTACAAATATGTGATGTCTTGATAAACTGAGCAGATATTTGAAGTTTACACCGCTACATTCTCGCCTGAAAATATTTTAAACGTTTATTTTGTGACCCAGACAGAGTAATAAGAGTAATATTAAAACTAAGTAGCTGCCGCCATTGTTGGAAACTGGAATTGGCTGAACCGCGCTAGGAATTCTGGGATAGGTTGGGCCACGATGGATACACCCGACCCATCCTTCAAATCTGGGGAAATGAAGGATGCATTTGTCGGCCGCGTTTGGAGGAGTCTTCGAATTTGGACAGCCTTGTCACTACCCGATCCGTACCGGAAACCCGATCGGTACCCCGCATGCGCAAATCTTACGTCACTTCCTCTCTTTGCCAACATTGCGACATTCAATATGTTTGAATGATACGGTTAGCGCCCAGTTAGCTCCTAGCATTTCTCAGCAGCTCTGCCTCCTTTTCGACTGCCCGGGACATTTAAACAATGGATAATCAGTATACAAAGAAATTCATGCTTTTCTCCTCAACAGAGAGTGTCCCCCGATTGAGCAACGGCGCCGTAAAATAAGGAGAATGGCGCCTAATTACACACGTGTAGATTCATCAGCCATATGAAGTGTTTACTGACAATTGACAGTGATAGCGCACATCATCATCATCACTATTCCAACAATCCTCTCCTCACAGACAAGCATAAACACACTCGACTATCGCTAAATCAAATTTAACACACGTTTGTAATGACGCTAATTCAGTTTATAATAGGGTTTATTCGATCGGTCAGCAGGTGGCGGTATCCTCGTACACTGGGGAGTACACTGCCATTAAACGAACAGAAGAAGAAGAAAACATCTGCACATGCGCGGTACGGATCGGGTAGACTCGATTTGTACGGTCAGACTTTACACATGCGCAGTAAGGATCGGGGAGTCCTGATCGTAACTATCTTTTTATTTTTCGTTTTTGTCTACATTGTACTGAAATGCTTCATTATTGCAAACATTTTAAGATATACCTGTTATTCTTAACATCTTAACAGATACTCGGACCTTTAACTATCGTAAAACGCTACGACCGGAAGTAGAAACCTTTCGCGCATGCGGGGTACCGATCGGGTTTCCGGTACGGATCGGGTATATAAAATTATATATTATATATTATTATATATTATATATTAATTATATATAAAGCCTTCGTCGCTGTGACAGAATCGGCCTACAAATGGGGACCCTGAATTTCTTCTTCTTCAGTGTTTGACGGCAGCTGGCATCCTTGTATATGCAGTGCTGCCATCTTCTGTTTCAGTCCGTTATTACACTTAAATCCTGCTGCTTATTCCTGCGTCTTTCAGGATCTTACAAAGCTTCAAACGTCGAGTCGTCTATTAAATTAGTCGTTGACAATTTTGATAGTCGACGTAATCGTGACTGGTCGACTAATCGTGGCAGCCCTACTTAGCATTATTTTACTGAAATATCCAAGGCCTTCCCTGGATGGGAGCATTTGATGCTCTAAAACTTGTGTATACCTTTCTGCACTCATGGTTACAGATGTGCAAGTGTTCAATTCCAAAGGCACTAATGGACTCCTGTACCCTCAGAGGCTTTTGAACTGAGTGCTGATAACAGGCTGGATGGTCCCGCTCCTCCTTAGTCCGAGGGACATGGCATCCATATTTTCCAGAAATAATTTAAAATGTTGATACTGCTGACCTCAGATCAGTTTTTCCACTGTCTCAGTCCAGCTTTGGCTCAGAGATTTGTGGGTCTGAACATCACAGGCATCCAATTTTTGGCCTTGTCCACTGCACACAGAGATTTCTTCAGATTATCTGATGATATTACGGACTGCAGATGATGGAATATTTATGTTGAGCAGCATTATTCTGAAAGTGTAACTCTGAAGAGTGAAACGCGGCCCCTCTGCGAGGCTCTTTTTATACCCAAACATGTCACTGACATGTTCCCAGTTAAATCTGACTGGTTGCAAAATGTTCAAAATATTAGATGAAATAGTAAAATGTCTCAGTCCAAACAGTTTATTCACTGTTGTGAATAAAATCTGGGTTTATTTGTAAGTCATTGCATTCTGTTTTTATTTACATTTCACTTTTTAGGGTTTGTAGTGCAGACTAACAGCTGCTACAGACAACCCAGTGGTATGAGTGTTACAGGAAAAGCACTGTACTGTAATATAGTATTAAAAGGGCTAAAGGATGTGGGTACTTTGGTCAGTAAGGCTGGAAAATATGTCTTATATTAATAAAGTTTAGCCTGTTTGAAGCCAGGAAGCCAAAAAAGACTCTGGATAATCTGCTCAGGTAAGCACAACACAGAGCAGTCTGCTGGTGCCACACACAGCTCTGCAGGCTGCGATGCTCTGAGGGGGGCACCGTCAGAATAATGTGGACCAACCAGTAACGTGGGCTACTCCAGTTTGTGTTGGTGCTGCTGTTGCTGGTCTGTCGCGATGAACACAGAAGACGAATCCTCTTTTTAGTAAAACCGAGTGAGATCTC